AAATCCTGTTACTAATCATCTGTTGCCAGTTTCAGAACCGCCAGGTCTGAAGATGGAAGCTGGAAACCTGGAAGAGGAATCTGGCTTTTTGTCTGGCAGGGTTGAAAACTGGAGCAGATGCACATGGAGCCAGCCCAGAGAGAGACCTGCCACAACGAGAACGTATCACAGCTACTCACGTGGAACTGCTTGATGGCAGGTCTGCGACACTTGTTGGCAGGGATGACCTGAACCTTCATGATCTGGATGGAGTGGGCGCGAGCACGATGGCGAGCACCCATATCACGATCTGAAGAAGAGACGCAAACATGCTCAAAACACCATGAGGGTGAAACGTCTGCAGTGACAGGAAGAGGCGTGGTGCAGTCAGATGCCACATAGGTGAGAGGCCTGTGAGTGAAGACTGGTGTCTAGTGTGCATCATGACTGGGGCTGCAACTAGTGATCATCTTCATTATTATCTATTATATTTATTTCAACCCAAACCACCTATTAGATGCCAGAAAGGGGAAATGTATGCTCACTGCAGAGTAGCTAAAGAACAAAGCTCAGCTCGAATCATCTGTTCATTGTTAACTCAAGAGAAGCAGATCTGTCGACTGCTCCCGTTTCAGCAGGTCACATTAGAGCCAAACAGCGCGAGCCTCCACCCAGCTGCAGCAGGGCTAACATCCAGCCTAAAGCTCTGAGCTGAGTTCCATCTTCACTTCAGCTGGAAACTCTGGGAAATGTGTTCATGACACTCTCTGCTGCTGGATTCTCACGACGGGAATGAAGGCTCTTTGTTTCAACGACGCTCAAGTTCTTGTGCTCAGGTGACCTGTAAAGACCTAGCAGCAGAGACCAGGCACTCAGGTGTGCTGCTGTGTGTGAATACTCACAGCACTGAGTGACGGCTCCAGAGGTGGTCAGGTCTCTGTACTCTCTGTACATGTTGTGGGTGCCGCTGCGAGAGTCATAGCGCAGCCAAATGCCAAAGTTCTTCACCTTCAGAGGGGTCTTCTCATGGACCTGAACCAATACAACACAAACAGGACATCTGTCATTTCAGTTTTCACTTAACTAGCCACAGTTGAGTATTGTTAAGGTCTGTGTGGTGCAGACACACACCAGGCCACAGTAGACTGTCTCTCCATTCGCCTTCTTCATCTTCCTCAGCTGGGAGACGAAGTACCAGAAGCGGGATTTGGCCACAACGTGGTTGGGTGCAAAGATCCTCATCCGGTACAGAGGAGGGGCCGGGTTCTTTGCAGAGGGCAGCAGGCGCCCAATGACTTTGTACTCCCTAAGCTGTGAGCAGAGAAACCAACATCTGTTAAGACACAAACGCATCACACGGAAGTGTTCATAAAGAAGCTCTTAAAAAGATTTGTGGAACCTTGAATTCACTTTCAATGGCACTGCAGCATCAGAGAAAGGCGACAAGGATCAGTTTCTGTCTGCACACCAGACAAAATCATACCACTGAGATGGCATGACCTTTGGGTTTGGGTGCAGATGGAGTGTCCTGTTATGTCACTGAATAATGAATGTATGGTACATTCTTGTTTAGTCCTGAGACTTATTCTGAAGGGAACACGTTAAGTAGCATTTATATTTCCATTACTTGAATACGTTGTAATGTATGTGTGCGCTCTGATATAGAGATGGACAAAGACTTTGTTTTTAAAGGCAGTTACTCATGAACTACACTTTTCACTTAAGTTAGATGAAGCTTTTCCTGAGAAATATTCACACCTGAAATAATATTGGTAACATGGAAATACTGTAATGTTAATTGTTATTCAGATTTGGACGACTGTAAAGGAATCAGTTGTATTTGCTCCGTTGCAATAGCATCTGATGCGCACACCAGTTTCCTCCGACTTTGTGCCAAAATTAACTTGACTAGGTGATTAGAACAGCTGTTGAATCACACACCAACAGCACATAGGATGGGCAAACACACTTTAGCGATTAACGTCAGCTCACTTAGGTTGCAGGAGCCACGTCTTAGCTGCACAGATTTAACTGACGATTTAGCACAATTACCAGTAAAAACTCATCTTTCAGAAGATGTACGCTGCCTTTTATGATTAGTTTAATTTTTTCGTTTCATATAGGACGCATTGTAACACAAGCTGTCCCATTTACAGGCACCGTCTTCCACATGGTAGTGAGGACGCCATGTTGTAGCCGCAAGAGCATCGAGATGGAAAAGTCTTAAAAATGTAGCTTTCAAGTAGACTTTTTAAAGGTCTTACTGCATCGATCAAACAAACAAAATGTTATATTGTCAGAACTTGTCATTACGGCCGTCTATTATTAGCTTAAATGCGTTAATAAAGACTTTAACGTACTGTGCCTGACGCCTTCATGGTGTCTCTCCAAACTACCACAGCAAAAGAGGAAGGAGCAGGGCGGAGCGTCCTTACGTGAAAATAGGCGGAGGACCCGTATGAAGTCAACCGTCCTGAAGTTCGTTTCACGTTCGTCGTAACAGAAAAACCCCGCCTAATATCAAATATGTGGCTGGTGAGGCCCCTTTCACTGAAACTTCGGGGTTTTTTTGTTTTGTTGTTTTTTTTATTACTGACTGACTTTGTGTATCTCTGGCGAGGTTTTGCGGTAAAATCCCATTTTCACAACTGAAATAATGATTTCATTAACATGAAAATGGGTTTTCAAATAATCCTTAATATCTATAAAGTTTATGTTAATCTACAATAGATTTAACAAGTCTAAGTGAAATGGATTTTTATCAACATATATCTGACATAATTTTTACAAAAATCTTTGTAATCTGCCTTTCTTTCTCTAGAAAATAATGGTTACACATATCAGAAAACGAATTAATTAATTTTAAATGGAGTTAGTCTTTGATTTGATTTGATTTGATTTGATTTATTCTTTCAAGCATGTAAAAACAGTTGATATGACAACACACATAATTTTACACATAATCTAATATCAATTGGCATATATCTAGTACATGCTTGAATGGAGTAGGAAGAAGTCAGACTTATCCAGTCCTACCCCATGACATCATCTTACCATCATTGGTTTGCAAGCAGTAAATAATTCACTTCTACCCACACACATATTATACTAAAAAAGATTTTAACAGTGTTAACATTCTTACATCACACAAGTAGTATACTAAAAAATTATTACACCACACCTACAATTGTCCATGTAAATAATCATTGAGCCTGTTCTTGCCCATATCTTGATTGACACGTACATTTATATTTATGTTTAAACTCGTCAATTCTATTACTATTTTTTATGTCTACACTTAAATTATTCCATAGTTTTACTCCACTTATGGAAATACAAAATCTTTTTTTGGTTGTACGTATAGCATGAA